TTTTTTTTTTTTTGGTTACAGTTTATCTATTAAAGTTTACATTGATTCAATGTATGTTAACCAAAGATTATAAAAAAATTATTCAGATATTTTTTTTCCTTGTTAAAAATTGAGAATAAAAATTTTGCATATTTATCTTATCGTTGAAATATTTGCTAAAGTAAATAACAGCTATTATTTGCCGTATAACGAACAGTGTTGTTTACAGAATACCATTGACTATTAAAAAAGTTTTTGATCAGAAACTTGGCTATAACTTACCTGTTTTTTTTTCAGTTAATTACTATTGGCTTTTTCAGTGGTTCAGCGACTGTTAACAGTGTTCAGAAGGTAAAACTGTCTTGTGATCGAGGTGTTATTCGATGGATACAGCCATCTGGAGCTGCTCAAATTAGCATTGCTCCACGAAATGGTAAACCAATTACGATATGTTTTAAGGTCAATCACTTGGTGGAAGAAACAGTATCTATTCGTCTAATCAGTAGGTTTTTTTTTGACTGAATTTGTATTACAGTTTTTGCAATGACATCATCACTTAGATTTAAAAACTCACTCACAGTTCTGATGTATTTTTGTTAATTTATTAGATCAGAACAGACAATACGTATTTTCAGATTTGACTCCACTATGGTCTCATGAAATTGCCAGTAAAAGTATTGAATGCTTCGATTCTGTTAGTTCTTTACAACTGATACTGGAAGCAAAAAATAGTGAAAAATGGACAAAACCAATAATTGTTCAAATCTCTTATGAAGTTCCAATTTTTGGCATCAAATTAAAAAATGGTTTGAAATTTGGTTGCTTTTGAACGGTTAACAACGATAGTATTTTTATCGAAAAAAATTTTTTTTTACACTAATTATTTATTTATTTTTTACACTTCAACAGTTTTAAACGTTACTTTATACATTAAATCATATTACAACTTTTTTGCTTCAGTTATAATTCAGTTATAAGTTTACTGTTTACTATTTGCGAACTCAGATGTACGTTGTTATTTATTTTAGAACCGCAGTATTGCAATCAATGCAACGTAAAAGAAATTGGTGATGCCTTTTGTAGGGCTGATTTTGGTACGCAATTTTTGTTGTCAAATATCACTTTACTGTATAATTATTTGAAATTAAGAACGTACAGTTATATCTTGTTTTTTAATGCTTTATCAATAATTTGTTAAGCACTTCAGATGACTGCATAGCACTGCTTATAAAATGCCTAGTAACTTCATAATTAAACAACTTTGTAATCGCTCAAAACTTCATTTCTTCGAAAGCTGATAATTGCAAATATTTTTTTTTATTCTTTTCCTATCTTTTGCAGTCTTTGAGGCAGTTTCGGTAAATAAAACATTTGACCAGCTAAAAGTTAAACGGTTTATTAGGCTTCCGTTACTCGACACAAACAAAACAAACAAAAATAGCATAACAACAGTTGGTAAGCTGATCATTTATCAAACAGTTAAATTTTGTTTATTATACAAAATAAACAGAATTTATGTACGCCTATAAAGGCTGACCTTTCTGACTGCAACACTACCAATCATCTTATTGATAATACCATTTGCAGGATGTACTTTGCTGAATGACAATGGAGAAAGTCGAATAATTATTGCCCAGACACTGCTTGGAAGTACATCGGTGGTTTGTGCTCCAACAATTTCCGAATTTAATAGCGCTGCCAGCAAACTTGGAGCTGCAGCTCATTGTCAACTAACCTAAATCATTTTTGTGAAAATTCATTTAACAAAATAGGTAATTTAACAAATTTTTAAACATTTAACAAATTTTTAAACATTTGCTATAAAAATGTTACTGACAAAAAAAACCGGCAGGCTCTTATAACTATTAACGGAAGAAATATTTTAGGTCTGTGGCAAATGGACAGTATTCAACAGAATGACCAACGAGAAATCTTCTCAAATAAAAAGGTCTTTAATTGCGGCTGCCTTTCTGAACTGCAGTTTTGTAGTTTTTGCTAAAATTCTGCTTTATGCCTTATATCAGTACAAATCTGTTTATAAGAGAGGTGATTTAAGTTGCTTTAAACTGTTAAACCGTGAAACAAAATTAGTTTTTCCAAGAATTTATGCAAAATAGCTATTGCTAAAGTTCAGCTTTGACAGAAAAATTAAAATGAACTAGTTATGTTCAGGTTTCGATGCGGTATAAAGTAAGATACAACTGGTAAATATGACTTCCGCAAAACGACAGAACGAAGCACCTCACAGATTTGTCATCCTCAGTCTCGTTCAGATTACAGTGTACTTGCTTGAGAAGAAAGCTGAAGAAGACCGTTTGAGTTTTGTAGTTTGGGAAAACTGCCGATATGCAGACATGACAAGAATTCTTGTCTTCCTCAAAACTATTGTAACTCCACCACTTTATGCTGTCTTTTTGAAATTGGAGTTTGATGAGATGTTTCTGATTGTCGAAGAATCTATTGTGTTTTAATTTTTTGCAAAATAAAATACTTTTTCGTTTTATTATTTCATTCAGATGCATTATCTAGTGAAAGCTATGTAATTGTACAAGTTTATTGTATTTTTGCTCTTAGCGAAAACTTACCTGTTTCTTCTCCATTTTCCTGTTGTGCTGCGAACAGTATGATTAAACATTTTAAGTTTTTTATCTTTCTTTTCTTTCATTTATTTTTACTTTTAATTTTTTTTTAGTAATTACATAGCAGGAAAGAATAGACAAATTCATAATTTAATACCCAAAAGATAACAGAATAAACTTTCTAAATACACCTAGTTTTCTTGAGTCTAAAAAAGTTAAACTTATCTTATAACAGCATGGGTTAAATGTTTGTGGATTTTAGACTTTGGCACTAGATATCAGGGTCATACTTGACGTGGTAACAAAATTTCTTGTGGTGGTAAAAAGTTTGATGATTTTTTACAAAACTAAGGTTGGTTTTGTTTGCTATGAACGTTTCTTATAGCATACATATTTATCTGTTCCTTAGTCTATTCTAAGCCAAATTTAAGTAGTTACATTTGAAGTAAGAAAAATGCAATGACTGAAGTTTTCAGCCAGTTATATTACAGCACCAATAATTTGCGTTACTTTAGTTGTTAACCAAAAAAAAAAATTATTAATTCATAATGAATTTGGTTATTTATTTAACTATCGGACACTTCAAATAGATGACTGCCCAGAAAAAAGTGGACATAACTATAGCTGTTTCAATTAATAAAAGCAAAAAAGTTATTAGTCAACAAAATCTTATTTTTTAGTTTTGCACTGCTTGACAAAGCATCTTTTGAAAAATTTTACAAAACTGCTTTCTCCATGGCAAAACTTTGTTTTGGCTTGCATAAATTTGTTTTGGTCGTTAAATCTCTGCTTCCCTTATTTTCTCTCATATTGATTCACATTTTGAAACTTAATTTCAATAACTCAATTAGTTACAGATTTTTTTTTTAGCTTTTGATCAACTGTTTTAAAGGCAGACAGATCCACAAATGTTCCAGAGCAAATTTTCTTTTCCTGAGAATAAATTGGTTAAATGTAACTTCATTTTTTTCCTTTTTAGCACAATAATTGTGTTCAAATTTGGCCCACAAATGACGACATTTTGGTTTCGTAATCTGTTGCGAAATGCTAATCTAAAAAACTTTTGTCAATATAAATTCAAAAAATCCGTTTTCTCTTTTTTTTTTTTTTTTTTTTTTTTTTTTTTT